GAGAAAAAAAATCGATCGATAGAATTTCTGCTATTGAAGATCTGCTCGATATATGGGTGACGAACGATGATATATGATCGACTTATACTGAAGAGAAAAACCAGATGGTACAAGGCGTGAGGTTTTACGCTTGATATCAGATAAAGAAAATCTGATGGCGGTGGACTTGATTGAAAACAATATGAAAATTTAATTTTTAGGTATAATTGAAAATATTTGTAGTTTCTTATGTAATTTTAAAAATAAATATATAAAGGGTATAAAAGTGTAATATAATTTAAATGTGTTAGTATGTGGTGCAATTTCCTCTAAATTTTTTTTCTTTCAATTGAAAACATACTAAATTTCAATATATATAAATGGTTCATTTGTGATATATTTTGGTATTTGAGTCCTAGATTGCATTATTTCTTTGGCTTATAACATCATCAGAAATGCTCCCCTACCCACAATGGGCACATGTTAATATGTCCACCGCGTAGGTGGTATGCACTCATTGGTGATATATTTTTTTAAACATATTAACATCACCAATGAGTGTATGCCACCTACGTGGTGGGCACATTAACATGTGCCCACCGTGAGTAGGTGAACATTTCTCTATAACTCATTTATAAATAGTTTATGTATCATTATATTTTTATGTATTTTTATCAATGCACCTTCTCAACAAAGTAACAGTTGAGGAAAAAAAAAAACGTTTTGAGACCATCTCAAACTCTATTTTACCCTTAGCGTAGAGTATGGGGAAAACGAAAAACAGTAAATTTTCGTTCCACCTCCAACCGTTCACGTTATATTTTATTCTCGTTTGAACAAAAAAAGGCCCAACTCGGTACTGTGACCAGATCGGGTCGTCCGAATAAGTCTCTGCTTCTTATCCTCCTCTAGGGGGATTTTTAGTGATAGATTTTGTAGGAGTTGGACGATCCTATTTGGTCAAATACCTAGTGACGAACTTTTGTTTATACCTCGGATGATTCTAACACTTTCTGACGTTAGAGTACCTTTTAATAGATCCCATAAGCTAGATCATGCTCACATTTAATTGCATTGGTGCACACTTTTTTTATATATAAGCTAAGTCTAACTCCTAATTGACATCTAATATTTTATTAAGAGACCCAAAACTAGAAATATTAAATGGTCTTTGGCCTGACGGGCCTAGCCCGTTTTACCCGAAAAAAATAGGGTTAGGGCTTTTTTCTACCATCCCGTTTAAATTCGGCCTTATTTGGCCCAGACCTATTAGCCCGCGGGCTAAACAAACAGGCTGTCGGGCTACAGGGCTAGCCCGAGGGCCAGTTAATAATTTAAAAGAAAAAATGAAACTTCACATATGAGGCTTTAATCCTTCAAATTTCAATTAAGGCCCTAAACCACAGGCCACAATTCATTGCTTTCATCTCCTCTCGACGACTCAAAAACATAATGAGAAATTCATAAAAAAAT